GGGACATATTCAACAACCGATGGGACATATTCAACAACCGATGGGACATATTCAACAACCGATGGGACATATTCAACAACCGATGGGACATATTCAACAACCGATGGGACATATTCAACAACCGATGGGACATATTCAACAACCGATGGGACATATTCAACAACCGATGGGACATATTCAACAACCGATGGGACATATTCAACAACCGATGGGACATATTCAACAACCGATGGGACATATTCAACAACCGATGGGACATATTCAACAACCGATGGGACATATTCAACAACCGATGGGACATATTCAACAACCGATGGGACATATTCAACAACCGATGGGACATATTCAACAACCGATGGGACATATTCAACAACCGATGGGACATATTCAACAACCGATGGGACATATTCAACAACCGATGGGACATATTCAACAACCGATGGGACATATTCAACAACCGATGGGACATATTCAACAACCGATGGGACATATTCAACAACCGATGGGACATATTCAACAACCGATGGGACATATTCAACAACCGATGGGACATATTCAACAACCGATGGGACATATTCAACAACCGATGGGACATATTCATCGAGAGAAATGTGGGTCAGGGCGAGAAGTGAGAAATAATCCCGTGTGTGGAAAGCTGCTGGTCGGGCTGACTTCAGCAGAAATAAAGTTTCAAGGGGAATTTTTGATAGAATCCAGGCTTCTGCCCAGAGCAATGACACACAAAGAAATTAGAGCCACCGCTGGGATTTGGGCACACAAGGGATCTTTTGTTCATCTATAAGAGAGAGAGAAAAAAAGCAAGAAGCAGTCAGCTAGGGCACTGGCGGCTCCATTGGTACTCTGAATGATCCTGGATGTTACCCCCAAAGCTTTTAATCTGGTTTCAGGAGCAGAAATGCCTTATGCAGCACCCCAAGGTGTAAAAAACACCAACACCCATTGTACCTTGGCAGGTTTTATCAGGAAGATGGAGACAAAGACCAGAGCAGGAGACGGCTGCATTGCCCTGAAAGATAACATGTGTCCCAAAGCCCTAATAGGTTCAAACCCCACAGCCTCAGCTATTATCAATCACTAAATAACCCATCCTTCCACCACCCCAACGTTTGACTCCACCACCTCCGGTAGCAGCACTTGGAGCAAATTAACTCCACGCTGTGTATTTTGCCTAAAACAATATTGTTTCAATGAACCGAGTGTGCTTAGTCACACACTGGGTATGCAGGGAGTTTCTAAAGAGCTGGTCACTGTAAAAATTAAGAGGCTGTGACATATGAATTTTAATCACTTTGCCTTTTTCTTTAAGCTGTTTTGCATGCAAGTGATGCAAAGTAAGTCTCAGCAAAAACATCCTTTTTGGGAAAAGCTTTCATTTAAAGGGGAATTCTAATGCTTACCCGCATCATAGTAGGTGTTCAAATGTTTTGTGAACCATTTTGTCTCCAAAAAAGGACCCAATGTTGTTATACACCCCCTGCAGCCCCTTGTCCAGCCAACCCACAGCTTTCTTTCCTTTTCCTTTTCTTTTAAAATAGAATTTCCTGATGACAGGACAACAGCAGACAGAGGATCTATGCAGAGCTTTACAGCCACCTGTGAAGATGCCTCCAGTCCTATCTCATGGACACTTATCAGCTTAAGCAGGTGAGAAAGCACAGCACAATTTTACTAACACTTGTACACCAGTAATTGTCTGCACTTCTGCCCTGGCAATGGTATACTAGAAGCCCAGATAATTGCTTCCAGCTTCTCATTCAGAGAACCTTGGATTTTGTACCCTTTTTCCTTGCCACCTACTCAATCCCATTCAGTCACCTCTGCTGCATCTTCCCAGTGTGCTCTAGGCCACTAATAAAGCTAAAATATACATATATATAGTCATTACATACATATATTATATTTTATATAAGGGTGTGTGTTTGTTAATTTTATACATATCTATATGACTTTGCCTTCTGCACTGGAGAAGAGCTATTCAAGGTGACTTCGTGGTTCCTGATTATGTCCTTGCTCAGTTTTTCCTACAAAAACAGGACACACCTTGCAGCCTTCCTTATCCAGGTTTTCATGAAAAGGACAAAAGGTTTACCCTCGGAGAACCGCTGCAACTTGAAACCACACAACAAGGAAGAAGGTGGCACCATCAACCCACACACACACTTGCTCAAAGTTTGCACTATTTGCCTCAAAAAAGTCTCAATCACCATTTTCACAACGTTTGGGTTTGTTTGGTTTTTTTTTTGAAGGGTTTATTACCCCCGTGCAGTCTCTGATCTTATGGAAGCAGTTTACTGAGGGTCAGCTAATGAAGTTAGCTGCTCTGCCCCACAAACTGCACAAATATTATCCCACGGATGTGTACAAAACCATGAAAATGAAGAAGCTCCTCATTGCAAAACTTGGAGGTGACACCTCCACCAACCACCAGACAAGCTCATGCAGCCACAACTGCTCAGTAGTTACAGCTATTTACTGAGCACCTTTTTGCTCAGTGATGTTGCAAATAACAGCAGCTGTTTCCAAGCAATCTTCCACAAGAAAGCTTATTTTACCCATTTTATTTTCTTACTTACACTGGACACACTCTTGCTGAAAGAAAACCAGAGAAATTCAAACAAAATGCACGTCTGCATGATTATTCTCACTTTTCTATGATGTGATTTGCATTAAATTTGTTTTTAGAATGAGTAATTCCATTTTTCTTTAAATAGATAAGCTTATATATACATACACATACACAAGCACACACACTTTTATAGATAAAGAAAAAGAAGCCCAGAGGTCTAGCCAGAGACTGCTTTCCTGCTCAGTCACATGGCAAGTTTGACTTTCTGAGATTGCAGGTTTGGGTTTTATTCCTGGTCAACAGGATCCAGCAGACATAACAAAATTCTTTAAAAGCTAAAACACTGCAAAATGAGTGATGGTTTTACACCAGTTTAGGTTTAAGATGCTCACAGACCTCCATCCTGCTGGCTGAGCTGCCCAAGCGTCCCACTGCACTCACATGCACCCCCATTGCCTAAAGCAGAGCTACAGGTACAAAGCATCCTGCAGAGTCAGTAATTCAGCTTAAAAAACAGGTAAAAAGATGTCCTGTCCAAGGCACTACCATCCATCACATGAGACACACCATCCACGCGCCCTGCTCGAGCAGCTCCACCACTCTCCCTGCAGCACTGCGGAGGGAAAAGCTCAGATCAAACTGTGGAGAACACAACATCCACCCAGAAGCTTTCTGTTTTAAAATATAGTGTGCTTCATTCTAAGGCACATTTCAAGTTACCAGGCAGATTCCTATAATCCACATTCCAGTCTTCTCTCGGCCCCATCTGAATCCCTCTTTTGTACCCAAGCCTGCAATTACTGTAACACCATCCCGAGACAGAAAGCACCAGAGCAGTGCTGAACAGCAAGCATCTTGTTTAAGAGCTCTGAAGGTGGCTATTTCCACGTCCCCTTGCAAATGCTCCTACCCATCTACAGTCAGCACTTATGAATTGGATGGACAGCTGTCAAAAGTTGATTTACTCTGATGAGGAGGAGAGCAGAGGCAAGCATCTCTGGCTAGAGCTGTCAGTTAGCCTGCTGCCTGCAAAAAACACAGGGATGTGTGAAAGCACCAAGTCTTTCCCAGTAGAGATTTCATCACAAAAGCAAGCAGTTGCCTTATATTTCAGATGTTTGCCCAGGAAAACCCATGGGTCCTGTCCACCTTGGACAGCAAAACCCTGACATCATCTACACAGAACCATGCAGCTTGCTGCTCAGCCTGGATTCACATAACAAGGGCACAGTCCTAAGCCCTCCGCTTTCTGTAGAAAGCTCCCCAAATTCCTAAACTCTCCTCAAAGTGGTTTTGCCTAAAGCACAAGCTCTTGCAGGAGATGTGAACTGCAGGCTGAAGTCAGTTGAAGTGCAATCCATCTGATCTCCGCTCACGGCAGTTGCTCCCCCACATGCATTCCTGGATTGAACTCTGGCTCTTCTTTGATTAGAAATGCATCCTAACTCACCACTTAAAGCCACGACAAGGCAAAAAACAGCCTGAAACCCTTGGTAAATGGTTCAGTGCTTCTTCTTGATACTAAAAGCCAGGGCTGTATAAAAAGCACAGCTAATCCGTGAGCAAACCTAAACACACTGTGCGAGTCCAGACAACGATAATAGAATGATCCCTGGTGCAACAACTTTCAGCTTCCTCTCACATTCCCTTTTAGATCACGGCTTATCTGGTAAGAACAAAATCCTGCATCTGTCCTCAGCAACACAACAAACAGAAATAAAAAAGGAAACACCATGTTCAGATGAAAACACTGCTTTGAAGGACGCATAAACGTTACCCAGTCACTTCCACACTTGAAATCACAGTGTCTCCATAAAGATGACTAACATTAGCTTCTGGGTTTAGTCTGATTATCTCACCAAATCATCTGAAATGTGGTTTCCTTCAAGCTATTAAACATGACATTTGCAGAGTGGTTTTGAATTTCTTCCAGGAAACTCATCCAAGCAGCAACAGGAGAAGGATCCTCATTGAAATCATGGTTGCGCTGAACCCATGAGTTCTTGAGGACCACAGAGATCCCCATCAGCCCAACCTGCCTGGCTCTCATGGCAAATAACACGGTCAAGTCAGTAAGCAGAATTAAATAGAAATGCCTGACCTCAGAGATTTCAGTAGGAAGCAATTCTGCACCACACAGGCAGGGCTGCTGTGGGAACCAAGTCTTGCATCTCACAGACCTACAGCACCCATGGGTGAAGACAGCCACCGTGATGGGGAAATCCTATATCAACTCAGGGATATTACAGCATGACAGAAGACCCCATATGCTCAACAGAGATGAAAATCTGGAATTCTCACACTTCTCTCTGCAACTTCACTTTAATGGCACATTGCAGTATTTCATTGCGTCTTTGCCCGCTTTTTTGATCTGACAGTTCGATCCAACCCTGTTGACTGAGCGCCCGCTCACCTGGCCATCTGCTTATAGGCTTCCTCTGCCACTGCAAAGATGTGAGGATCCATATCCCCCACGTTTTGGCCACTGTACGCGTAGATGACATCATCTTCGTAGATTGGCAGGTGCTCATATGGATTGATGGCAACGAGGACAATACCTGAGAACAGATAAAGACAGATATGTTACAAACCAAGCAGAGTTAATAATTCTAGCTTTTCAGGGCTTGTGTTAGATGTTTCAATCAATTTTTATAATACAACGCTTGGAGAAAGAAAAAAAAAAAAAAAGGAAAGGCGAAGGACTCCTAATTCTTATTCTCTCAGCATCTCCTTCAAAGTGCTATGCTTTGACAGAGAGGCTATAAGCTCCAGTAGAGATACAGAGGAGGCATATGAAACTGGTGAGAAGAGCAAATATATCATAATCTTCATTGTGTAAAGCCAGACTTTGCAGGAAGAATAAGAAAGGCTAAACAGTGCCTTAGCCAACACTTCAGAAAAGCAATTCCTATGCAACCAAAGCTCTGCTAGACCCAAACAAATATCCCGGATTTTCCTCTGGCTTAAATTCTGAGAAAAAACTCGTAACAAAGAATGTACTCAAATCAAAATGAAATGCATAAATCACAGGAAAGGAATGCCAGAGCCTGCATTAAACCTGTAATGTCTCATTTCTAGAGCTAGAGAGGAAAGCTGTGCCTGCCCGGAGGAAGCAGTGAGCTCAGGAATTAATGAGAGGCAAAGCCACACGTGGTGCTACCTGTAAGCTTGAGGGAGCTGGTCTGCACCCTGCAAAACTGAAGCACTGACAAGTTCCACCTCCAAAGTACCTTCAGGTTTTACAGGTTTAAATTGTTATTGTAAGGAGCTCCAGAAAGCACGTGGCTGGTGGGAGTGGGTGCTGTGCTCACAGCCCGGCAGGTTCAGGGCTCGGGCATGCTCAGATTACAGCAAAGCGCAGGAACACTCTCAGCCAACGCCAAGATAGGTTACTTAACCCGCAATGAAAAGCAAAGGTCAGCTAAGTCACACTCCCTGCCTTCACAGGGTTATCAACCCAACAGCTTCACCACACCGTGCCCTGCTCCTACCTGTTTGCCCCTTGGTTCTGTCAGGGCTTTGCCCTCAGTCACCAAAAATGCCTCCAGCCACGGGGCAAACCAAGCTGAAGGGCTGTAGTTGCCTCAGCACTGACCACCTGAGAAGCACTTTTCTCCCCTTCTCAACCACCTTCTAACCAAACCACAAGCTACCCTGCACCCACGCAGAGCTCCTGTAGCTAAACCTCCACCTGTGAAGCCCAAAGCCTAAACCCATGGATCTGCGTTAGCACGATGCTGTGCTCAAGATAATCCTAAACCTAATGAAGCCTCACTGATTTCGCAGCTGACTGGGAGCACACATGCAGCTGCAAAAGGCTCCAAGTTACACCAGAAGTCTCACACTATACATCATGACAAATTTAAAGGAACGTCACCACTACTACCAGCCTCTAAGGCCACATATTTCAAGGGCATTACTCTAAAGAAGAGTTTCCTCTTGCCTAGCATTCCCTCAGCAAAAGTTACAGCACTTAATCACAGCTGCACGTACCAGCCTTAACCCTGCCACACAAATAGTCCCACACATCTCACCCAAATCTTGCAACTCATCACTTAGAGAACTGTTAGTCTGCATCACTACTAGCAAGGTCATCTTGAGTGCCAGCAAGAGGGTTCAACGTTCAATATTCTTCAACATAACTGAAGAAAAATTGCTGAATTGCCTTTTTCCTTCGTTTTTAGGTTGCAGTTTGTTGCCACCCCTTCACAGGTAACTGCGATCCGGAATGGTTTGGCAGGCTGCCCTCCCCTGGAATGACAAACCCAAGTTCACACCTGCCCTCCTGCTTTGAATTTAAGAGTTCAATGACACCAAAGTCATCAAGAAAAGCAAGGAAGTAGCAGTGCAGCAAGGGTTTTTTTGCAGTCTTTCAGGAGAAAAACCCGCTAGGGACATTTCTCAGTGGGACTGCATCCTTCTGGCACACTGCTGTTCTCCAGTGGCTTGCCAAGTCCTACGTTTTTCCCTACAGACTGCCAAGCACATGCAAAGCTGGCCTCAAACTCATACGACAAGACACCCCCACCAAGATGGACCACGAGGTCCGGAAGTTCACAATGCACCAAGCCCCCAAAACCCCCGGTGGTTTTGCAACCTAAAGCTTGTTGGCACCTACTTGTGTCTCCCACCCACTCCAACTTCACAGCCCCCAGACTCCCCTCATGCCACAACTTCTGGCTTACTGTCTCAAGGGGTTTCTGTGTGGACATGCTCTAACCTACAGCTCTCCAGGAGATGAACGTGTGGGCCTGGACACTCACCACAGTATGTGTAGATGTGGTTGGACTCAAGGAACCTGACTTTGAGATTGTGGAGGACTGCAGGCTCGTGCAGGTAGCTCAGGGCCGTCAGGTCATTCTCTCCAACCAGGATATCTGGATTGCGCAGCAACGGCAGCTCCTTTCCTTGGGGGTCAACAGGACATTCGTAGATCTGAAATGACACACAAAAGAAACATGAGAACACAAAAAAAGAACATCTCCTTTAATGTCTTATAACTTCTCCAAGCATAATTCCATCCTGATACTATAAAATACTTACACATCCTGCTCCACATGAAAGAATTATGCTAAATTCTATAGGGACCTGGACCTGGACAACACACTACCAGGTGACAGGTCATCCCCTTGGTAAACAGCCTTGAGCTGGCCAACAGATGGTCCTGGTGGACACTGATGGTCCACAAGCATCAACTTGAGCATACCTGAGTTGTTTTGAGGCCAGCCTTGGGGCAAATAGCCTTTGGCTAGCTCTGAGCTGTAACAGGTACCACACAGAAACCCACGGCTTCATCTGATCTAAGCCTCGTTCATGCTCTGTGAAAAGCAGCCTCATTTCAAACTGGACTATATTCTTCCCACCGGAGTGATTTCTCAACTCCTTTTTAATTCAAGTTACTTTTATACTCAAAACTTTACACTCCCTCAGGCAGAGAAGGACATGGAGAAGCACGGAGGCCCTGCTGCTTCAGTATCTGAAGAGCCAGGTCATGTCTAGAAGCATACGGCTGCCCATATGCTAAATATTTTTGACTCATCCCCAAATGAACAGCAGAGGCACCAACGAAAGAAAAAGTGTCATTTTTTTCCTTGACAGTAGAGAGAAAAAAAGTTGCCTGTGATGTTGCTTCCCAGGGGTGTCTCAGGAAGGGGTCCTGAGGCTCAGCTCCCAGTAGAGGGGAGGAATTCCAGTTTGCAAGCAAAAGGGCACCACTACCACTGCATTAGCACTGCATCACTGCCCGTGCAAACAGCACATGAAAAGCTGACCCAAGTGCACAAGCACAAGGCTCACACAGCACGTCTGACAACCTCAGGCTGGTTTTATACTTCAATTCCACACTGCCAATGCCAATTTTCAGGAGTCTGCACTCAGTCTCACATCTTAATGGCAAACACACCAGGGATCCCTTGTGATATTTAAAAATCAGCTCTTCATTCAGAAGGATTACTCTTGCATACAGAGTACAGCCAGAAACCACAAAATCATGAAAATTCACTTAAAGCACAAGGACAAAAGAGAAGCACTAAACAGTTGGGTAATGCATGTTGGCTGTCAGGAACAAAAGGCTTTCAACAGCTTCAAATCCCCCAAAGACATGTATGCTCAGTATCTCTGTCTGATGCACTCGTGCACTGTTCCCCTTCACTAAAGCTTTTCAGCCCAACATGACTTGGGTCCAGGCAAGGTTTCACACAGAAAAGTATCAAACAGAAAAACATCAAACAGAAAAACATCAAATCTGGGGAGGACCCACAGAAGGCAGCAGTCTCACACACAACCCCAAATCGAGATGTTCCTGTGTTTCACCGTGACAGTGATGTGCTTATCAAGCTACCATCTACAACACACGGTAATCCTTTAATCTCCTTGTACTTTAATGTTGCTGACTGTAAACCGAGCTGTACAAGAAGGCTAGACCTTGCAGTACTTCTTAGTCCCTTTGGTTTCCAGGGAAATATCAAGATTTAAGAGAAAAAAAACCAAAAAAAAACCCAAAAAACACCTCCCCCTCGCCCCCTTGTATTAAAACAGCTGAAGATCTCAACCAGAAGGAAGGATAGAAGGAGTTGCTGTGGATGAGATGGGCACCCATCTGCACTCAGGCACCCATCTCTGCTGGGCACCCCAGAAAGGGCACCCGTTAGTGCTGCTCATGAAAACTGCCCCTAAGTTGAAGGCTGTAGTGCTTTTAACACCCATCACCATTTTCTTGCACAGGCCTGAGTGCTGCTGCTTGGTTTCTGCAAGGTTTGTATCTTCTTGCTTCAGAAGCAAGAGAAAAAGCACCTATAAAATCTGCACTGGGGGTCACCCCTGTGGCATCTGATGCTCCCTGTGACAAGCTGCTGCGTGGAATGACTGGAACAATGGAAACACACCTGTCATGAGCATTGCAAGCACAACACATCATGTCATTAGAGACAAAGAAGAGACTTGGAAGAGGGACTGATAGACATAATCCCAGAATCATCTAGGTTGGAAAAGCCCCTGAAGCTCCTCCAGCCCCACCATGACCCTCCCCCTGACCGTTCCCAACTCCCCCAGATCCCTCAGCGCTGGCTCAGCCCGACTCTTCAACCCCTCCAGGGATCCCGGGGACTCCCCCCTGCCCTGGGCAGCCCATTCCAACGCCCAACAGCCCCTTCTGCACAGAAATCCTTCCTCAGAGCCAGCCTGACCCTGCCCTGGGCAGCTTGAGGCCATTCCCTCGGGGCCTGGCGCTGGGGCCTTGGCTCCAGAGACTCATCCCCCCTCTCTGCCCCCTCCTGGCAGGGAGTTGCAGAGGGCCAGGAGGTCTCCCCTCAGCCTCCTGAGTGAGACACGGGATTGTGAATCCAGGAGGTCCAACCGCAGGGCTACTGGGCAGGGAGCCTGCCAAGAAGCAAGGGGCAGTGACTCATGGTCCTACAAGAACATGCCTGGTGCTTCCCACAGCCAGCGAGGTGGCATCTGTGCATCTCCTCATCTATATTTATAACCGCGGAGAGGAAAAAAGCATCTCCAAGAGAAGCATCATCCATCCTTCACCCTCCTCAGAAATCTGCCCTAAGGTGAAAGAGCTAATTGGAGAGGACACGTGCAGCCAGGGCTGACCCCAGCAGAACCAGCAGCTCCACGTACAAACCAAAGCATGATCGGCGCAGATTTCAACGTGAATAACTTTCCTTGCAAGCCTGGCACATTCACGTACTGCAAACAGCCCGCGCTTGTGCTGTTCCCAAAGAAATGTTTTGATGAACAGCCTAATCAAGCGTGTCTCATTCCTGTTCTCCATCTTCCCATTAAGTAATATGGTGAAAATATTCCCCGCAGTATGGAAATGTTTGCCTGGCAGGGGACGTGAATTACTCGCCCTCCTCGGAGCATTTTCAATTTGGAGAAAGTGGCCTCTATTAACTTTTTTAAGCAACAGAGCAGATCACCCTCTAGAGAATTAAGAGAACCCTACCTGCTCAGTGAAGAAAGCTGGTTTAGCTGGAATCCCTCATGAAAAATATATTTATTCTTCCTGCTACACCAGGCATCACACATGGGAAATGCACCTCGTGGTGGGTATGTAGCATGACTGCTCCCTTCCCATAAACCACACAAATTTCGCAGCTAATGCAAATGCCATGGCTAACTTCATCTGCAATCCCCTTGCTGTTACCCAACATCTCACCCCATGAGCTTTTTCTGTGGGATAGAAGGCAGCTGCTCTCCATCCTGCTTTGGGAATGATTTATCACTGGCTGCACACATGCCATGAGCCTGGGCTGTTCATGCATTTGAAAGCAGCACTTGCTAAAAAACATCTACATTTAAATGAGTTTCTCATTTCTGTCTTTTAGAGCTTTTTAATTTTTTTTTAAGGGAGATAAGTGGTTTACGTAAGATTGCACTTAAAGAGAAAAACCAAGGCGTGGAGAAAGCTGTTGCACAGCAGTCAATTCTGCACCCTGTATGACTTTTCCATCTGTACCCAAGCTTGAGTAGATGCCACCAGCTGCACTTTTACCAATTTGTTCAGCAGCAAAAAGCATAAACTGCTATTTCTAACACACTGCCACTATGATGATAATAATAATAATAATTTTTTAAAAAAAAGATCATTCTGATATCACAGACTATTACAACTTTGGCAGAGGATGAAAAGAGATGAGAGAGGTCAAGAGCTTTTCTCACAACCTACTTTAACACAAGTGTCTGGGGAGGGAGCAGGCAGGGAAAAGCTGGAAGTGCTAAGGCAATAAAACACATTTTAAAATACTTCCTAAAAAAATATGAGATGCTCAGGCTTCTTCACACATTAATTCAAAGCTTTAAATTACTGAAAATAACAACGTTCAAAAGCTTACACTTTCATCTTCAAGTTTCAGATGGAGGCTTTTATCTCCCTCTTTGTAATCCTTGATAATTTCTGCTGATCTCCAAACTTCATCAGGGTCAGGAATCCAAACTTTAGTACACTGGAGAAGGGAGGGAAAAAGAAAGAAAAAAGCTTAAAGACAAGGACACCTCAGAAATTGAAACATCAATAAATTAATTCACTGTGGATACAGTTCCACACTCATTGTAAAGTCAGCGCAGATAAACCATTTATTTCAGTTGAAAAAAAAATATCTCCAATTTTAGGTTTTGAGGTAAATTCTAGACAAGAAGTCGGATTTTCAGTCAGACTTCTCCTGGATGAGGTGTACACCAGCTTGTTACCAACCCAGCAAAACGGGGTACAGACGCAAAGTAAACATGAAATTTAATTTCTCTGGGGGAAAAAATAAAACAGCCTTCTGGAAGCTTTTATGAAATAATGCAATCCCCCCGACCAGCAGGCCATACACCAAAGCATGTTTCTTTCACACAAAATGATAGGCTGCTCCCCCCAGACCAAGCCCTAACACAAACCCACCACCATGGTGCTAAAGCAGTCAACAGAAGACACCAAAGCCACCTTCTGCCGTTGGAGGTGAACCTGCAAACACGCTTCAAGGCTCCAGAAAAATGCTTAGATGCAACATTTAACTTTTTTAGCTTCTCCAAAGTTCGGAGAATCCTTACGCCTCCAAGAGGAAATCCCAACGTTGGACCCAGACAGCCCAACCAAAGTGTCCACAAAGGGACAAAATCCACGAGCGAGCAGCACCGCTCACGTGTAACGAGATTATGGTTGTTACTCGGAGCCACAACACCTCCTGCTAATGAGATTTAATTTGCTTTTATGATGCAGAGATAAATACTCTGCCCAGGCTGTGCAAAAGCATCTCCCAGTGCTGAACAAGTAACCTGTGCTGTGCTGAAACCTCCAGCGCTTGCTCTCAGGAGTTGGGATAAACACACTGCAGACCCAGCACTAACGCTGAAACTTCCACGCATAGGTTTCCCTCACCTTCTACATTCATCTTTCTTTTTTGCAGGTACCATTTTCCCTGCTTGTGGGTCTGCCAGGCAAGGTTCTGAGAACAAGGAACCAAAAACTGCTTCATCTCTACAGGAAGCCACCTTGAGTCAGGCTTTTGTTGCCAGACATGGACCCATACAGCCAGTCTTATGCTGGTCTCAGCCAACCAACACAGAGTCAGCAGGAATCCTTCAACAACCACTTACTTATAGGAATATTTGAGGGCATGTCTCCCCCCAACTCTTCCTGTTAACTGAAAAAAGAGCTATATAAACTCAGACAAAATGAAAGGTGTTGGGGAACATCCCAACAAACCCAAGCAACACCAGCACCATAGCACCAAAGATGGGTTTGGCCTTCATCTTAAAATCAAACCCTCACAGCATATGATGGCCAAATAACGCCTGTAGTGCACAAACCCAATGCATCACCCAAGAGTTAAAGCAGCAACTGTCTAACAGCCTGCTCTGCAGCTGAAGAGCAATAGATTTTTATATGTATCATGCGTAATTATTTTTAGAGCTCCTCAATAGCTACACAGCAGGAACCTTTAGATGTTAATGGAGCTACACAAATGTATTGCCAGAACAGCAGTTTTATCAGGGAGGTGAAAAAAAATAAAATAAATACATTTTTCTCGGCACACCATGAGCCTTCAGTGTTTGTCCCACCATGAGGAAGGGAAGCTGCAATGGGGAATGGCTGCTCCAGGACCCTCAGGCCAGTCTCCCCTGTCCCCTCCAGCAAACAGCATTGCAAGAGATGAAACATCCCTGCAGCATGGCCAGGAACCCCACCTTTGGCTGGACCATGAAAGGAGCAGGTGCAGCTGATGAGATGGTGATGCACCACTCATCTTTCCCCACCCCATGCAGCTCACCCCAGTTTCTCCAGGCTCCAACACCATGGGAAGGGCTTTACAGACCATTGCTGTGGCTCTCTCCCCTCTTGCCAAGTACTTTGCCTGCCTTTAGATCCCCACCACCATGGTTTCATCCAGTGCCAGCTCTCTCCTGGCAGGAGAAAGATCAAACACGCTCTAGAAATGCCCAAAATAGCTAGGGATCAGGATGTACCCAGCTCAAGGCAGCCTCAAAAACAAGATGCTGCTGGTCTTGGCTGCAAATTCTCCACCTGCACACGGGGCTGGGCTGAGCCATAGACCTGCCTGGACAGCTGGATACAGAGAGGGGCATGCTGACCCCAAAGCAACCCCAGAACCACGGCAGTGCTTGTGCATGCTATCATGGATGAAATTTGGGCTTACTTCCAGCAGCAGTACAAGGTCACACTGGCCTCTCTTGAAAGCTCATCGCCAGCTATGCGAGGCTCCGGAGCTGAATCACTGGTGGAGGGTATCAGCTCCCAGCATCCACCACCCAGGGACGGACCTACAACCTGGTAGTGGTGACCTTCCCACCCCATCAGCCACCCTGACCACAAAACTACAGAATATTAGTAACAGCACTGAATTTCCAAGACTCTGTGTCTACACGCACGTGCAAGGGATCACGCAGTACAGAAGGCACTAAGGCAGAGGTGTCTGCAAGGTCTCAGGAGCCTTCGGGGTGACTGATTCCCCCGCTGGGAGACCCCGAATGCGATCACCGCCCCAGCACGAGCACCGCCCGCACCGAGCACTTACCATCCTGCTAAACAGCTGCGGGCTCTTAGAGAGAATAGGCTGTTATGAATGTATTTCCCCAAGCATCTATAATGCTGTGCTCTCATGCGTGCACGCACATACGCACATCCAAAAAAGGGGACCACCGTTTTGTTTTGGGTTTGTTGTTGTTGTTGTTGTTGTTGTTGTTGTGGTGCATTTTCACCACCCTCCCCTCCTTGCTGTGTTCTAGCAGAGAAGCAAACCCTCCAGGCTGCTACACAAACCTGTATCCAAGCTTTCCCTTTCACCCATAAATCCCAAGTATGTCAAACCATAAAGCACCGAAATAAAAGCACTTTGTCATTCTTAGATCTTTACAAGGCGAGCTTTAATTAAAAACCGCCAAGGCTTGGAGGCAGCCCATGGTGCAGGCACACTGGAGCACCACTCTCGCATCACCTGCCTGCCTTGCCCTCGACTTCTGCGACCTGCTTCCTCCAAAGCAGATTCACAGGCCGTGCGTTGCCAATTAAATTCACATAGATGAGAGCCACCAGGTCTCAAAAACCATGCCCCCAGGCAGGTACCCACCCTAGGCAGGAGGAAAGCATCTTTGTGAACCTCTACTTCCATAATCTCACCTCTAGCATGACTATTCCACTTTACACGCTGTGTCCTGGCTTCGTTAACTTTAACAACCTCTTGATCTTCTGGAGGAGCTTGTTAGAAAGGGAAAGGGCAGGGAGGGTCTATCTCAAAGCACTGGGATCGGAGGATTAGACTGAATTCAGGCTCAGAAGACACAACCCTGGGCAGATCGCTTAACCTCCTGACACTCCTCTGGATGGAGGACAGACAGAAAAGCACTTTAGTCCTCGAGGATGCCTTTGAATGATGTGTTCACATTAATCATTAAGAGGTCTGCAAGCTCAGCCTCTCAAGAAAAAACAGAATTTAAAAAAAAAAAAACCACAAACCTGTTTGTTTTGGGTTTTCTGTTTGGTTTTTTAAAGCAGATTCCCAGTAAAACCAAAACGATTCAGTGCCCTCTTGCATTATTCCACCCATCTTAAGCAGAAGCTTAATAAATTCAATCCCACCTCCTGATTTGATTTAGATTTTAACAGGTGGCTGCTGCTGCAGATGCAGATTAAAACCAACATTAAATTAGAAGAGGCAGGTTTTGTTTTGCTGTTTGAAAGCCCTTGGTGCCAGTCAAAGGCACTCCCAGCAAACTCCGGCCAATGTGCTTGGCGGATGCTCCAGCACAGCAAGAAGTGATGCTGGTCTGAGCTACACCAGTGTTCCACTAAATTAAGAAAAGAGTATAATTTTTCATTACATTAAGAAAAAAAATGCTTAAAAATTAGCTATCTTAGTTTAATCTGGGCTCTCTGGTGGCTGCATCGGTCCTCGCGGCAAGCTGGAAGTCAGCAAATCCATCTTTATTATTATTGGGTTTTAATCCCCTGAGTTATTTCAGGAATGGCAATACTCACAGCTGACCCCAGGAAGTTTTCACTGCTCCTCGGTCAAGGGCACTTTTCCAGGGGCATTCTTCCAACCTGACCACAGCCAGAGAGAGGGCACAGCAGAAAACCCACAATACAAAGCACTGACTGCCTACCAATTAGGAATTCAGTAAAAAGATTAAGATACAGTATCTCACAACCGAGTTCCTCCACGCAGGTTGAGAAAAAACTTATGAAAGGACTTTAATAGAAACCAGAGACAGAGATGTGAAGGTCAAAGGTGCATAACTAAGAATGAGGTGGAGGTTGGGACAAATATGTATTTTTTTTGGTTTCTAAAGCAAGCACACTTCTACTTTTCCCTCTCTGCAGTGGGCTTATTGCCAACCTCACTCTACGTTGTTCAAAGAAATAACGTGATCCAGTATTACTGAATGCCCTTGAAGATAACAAAAACACATATAGAAGAGCAAACAGCACGAGCTTCAGTCCTGGCTTCCTCAATAGTATTTACATTTACATATACAGCATGTGAATGGTTAAGCAGCTTACTTTGAAACAGTCCAATAACTTCCCCTCAGCTCTCACAAGCTATTACTGAAGTTAAAGTTTTCCCAAACTTTTCTTTTCCCAAGCAAAAAGAGCAAAATACAAACTCTACCTTAAATCAACAGTGGTCATACCAGACATCACATGGTTTGGATGTAATTTTTCTTTTCCCTATTGATTTTTTTTTAAAAAAATCAACACATGATTAAAGATAACACCACAGAGATAATTTAAAGAGGCTCTTGCAGAAAAAAAAACAGAGGACTCTCCTTTGCAACCACAGTGTGTGGATACTAACCTCAACCCTTCCAGCTCTGCACTAAAGCAAATGAACTTTTCTTCATTAATTTGCACTGGGCCTGCAGTCCTGGGCTGAACTAGGGTCATGGCTGTATTTTTGCCCACCCACTGGCATTATGTCAGCAGGATCCCACATCCCCGTAA